AAAAAAAAAAATAAAAAAATTTCTACGTCTATACACGCCTAAATAGCTAGTAAAAAATAAAAATCCACAAAAAATTTAAAAAATTATCTTCTATGATCTATAGACACTGAAAAAATGCGAAATTAAAATGTTTTAATAATTTCTGCCAATACTTTGTATTTACGCTATGCGAAAGCAAAACTAAATTTATATTCATATCTACTTCAAATGTTTTTAGAAAAGTTTTTTCTTTGCGTATTTTAAGCAAATAGCAACAAGAACTGACCTTCGTTTATATTTTACTGATTCTCAGATAAATATTAAATTTAAAATGAAATTATTGAAATATTTCAGGCATAGAAAATGCCACGTTCTGTCTGGCAGGCAGATTAATGTCTGCCGATAAGCTGGCGTGTGAGTGTCAGACACCGCAAGGAGCGCAAGAAGGCCGACCAACGGCAACTTGCCGGCTCATTTGTTATAGCTATACCGACAAAATATGTATTAATGTATTTAGTTTGGATATAAATAATACTTAAAAATGCATAAATAACAATTTATACATACAAGAAAAAACTACACATAAGTAACACTTCAAGAAGTGTGCCGCCCCTCGGTGTGCTGACAATTTGCCAGCGTTAAGTGTGTATAAGAAATACAAAAAAAAAACACAATAAATATCTACTTATATATTTGTAAAAAAAATCATAATTTTTTTTTGTAAATTAAGCACTGACAACCTATTTCCTACATTGTATTTACTAATGATAGACTGGTCGTTTTAATTTTTATTTTTGCTGCTTCTGCATTTGCACTTATGTGCTAATTTCCTTTTATGAGTTTTGCTCTCTTATTTCCAAATTAAACTACAGTTGTGAGATATTTCACAAACACTGTATTGCCGAAAAGCTCGTAAATATACAATGTATTTATTATTTGTCGATATGTATTTGCATTTATGTGCGACTTACCAAAATCCGATAGGTTCACTTTTTCTAGGAACGGATCAGCGACTGGCAACTGAAAGAAAAAGAAAATACGATAAGTTGCTTTGAGTGAAAAATTATACTCATAGTATTATATCATGAAAAAGTAAATTTACAATTCTTTACTAAGTGACATTTTTATTTATAAAGCATTTAAAATCCATTTTATTTTTATGTTTTACTTTCATATGGTGGTAATATGGCGAAGATTATTTATATTATTTTTTTAGTTAGGAAATGCATACATTAGGGTACCTCAGCTCAAAAAAAAAAAAATAAATAAAAAATGTGATTCAATACGAAAAAGCTGTAGAGAAGAGTGATAAATGTGCTCTATATTTTGAAATACAATAAGGCCATTTGGATGATAAAAGACATCGTTTTTTTATTGTTAGGTGAATTTAATTTTTAAGGAAATACATATATGTAACATATATATGTACAGGGTGTAAAGTAATAACCGTCGCATAGGGTTTTTTTGAAGAAAAAAAGGGTCCTTTATAGATTTTGCGAAAAGTTTTTTTTATAAAAAAAAACTGTGCGACAGTTATAATTTTACAACCCGTTTTTTATTTGATAAGATAAATTGCATATTGCAATATTGGTATCAAAATGAAGAGACGAAAGTTACTGCCGCAAATATGTTTGAGGAGGGTTGCCAACCGTTTGAAAAATTGCATTCAATTAAATTGATAAAATAGGTGAAATATACAATCCAGGTATCAAACAGCATACAAATACTGTTAAGCAGTGTTGGCAAAATGTTAATCTGATTAACGATTAAAAATTAATGATTAAAATGTTAATCGCGATTAACGATTAAAATTAATTAATCGTAATTATCCATACGATTAATGATTAAATTTTTTTAATCGTTAATCCTCGGTTGTGATTACGATTAATTGATTTTAATCATTAACCATTAATCCAATTTAAAAAAAAATCTTATTAAGTTGTCTAGTTTGTCCGAATTCAAAAATGTACACCAAATTGCTTAGACTTTGAACAGACTTTGCCATACCCGATTAACTGGCCTTGTGTGCACAGTAAAATTCCAGCATTAATTAATTAATCACAAAATATACTTAATCAAATTAAGGGTTAATGATTAAAAATTAATTTTTGTAATCGTGGTTACGATTAACTGTTTAATCAGATTAAAATTAATCAATCGAATTAATTAATCGAATTAACTAATTGATTAAAAAATCAATCGATTAGTGCCAACACTGCTTTTAGGCGCAGTGAAGCACGCGGGTATTTGCTAGCTATTAATAAAATGAAATACAAGATTTTGCGGATTTTCGAAAAAAAAATCAAATTTTTTGGGTCAAAAGGATGAAAAGATATTGAAAAAGCCCCTTAATTATGTTCATTTTTTTAAGCTAATCAAGTTAGATGGATAAAATTCGAGGATTAATCGTGTATATATTAGTCTTTAACATGTATTTTAGAGAAAATTAATAATGCAAATTTTCAAGGATGTCCCATGATAAAGATTTAAAGGGACCTTTTCACGACTTATTCCTTAAGCGCCACCAGATTTAGATTTTAGAGGATTTTCTCTTGTATTTAATAACCATTTGTTTTTCTTTAAAATTTGAAATTTCAGAATTCTTTACAAAATCCTGACGTCAGAGAGAACAACTAAAAACGCATTTTTCTTGTATTTGGCCCCGAGTTTCGCGAGTTTCGCGAGTATATTGAGTTTTTGGCCTGTAAGATTTATTGTCGCACAGTGTAATAAACTAATAGAAAATAGCTTTTACGTAACCTGGCAGAATTAATTAATTTCCATTTTTGGCACCACAAAACCAAGGTATAATTATAGACACAGAGAAGAAAACTGAGTCATAAGTATTTAATAAATAACAAATAAACTACATAAATATATGGGGGATTCCTAAGTGTCATCATCAAGCTCAATTAAAAGCTACAAATATCTGTAGGTGTGTATGTACATACATATGTTCGTTACAGGTAATATTTCCCATGTGACAAAGAAAAAAATGTGAATCTCTTCTAATTTATGACGACATACTACCAACGTAGTAACTTTCAGAAATAACAAATTGAAGCTGACATTGATATGATGCAAAGTAGCAAATTGCCTTAGTTCACGAGATATTGTGAAAACTCATGTGAGAGAGCAGATAATGATTATACAGGTATTGCTAACTTCGTATGCAGTAACTATGTACTTTGTAATGCATGCATGTGCGTGGTACACATGTTGTTGTTATTTGTTGTTTTCCTAGAGATAATTACTTGTGTACACATGACCGGAATAACTAGTACACAATGAGCCACAATAAAGCGCGAAATGACGTGAAGCGAAAGGTGAGTGGGGGTATAAAAGTCACCAAAAAGGGCATAGCGACAAGTCGGTGAACATGGTATTTGTACTTGTAGATAGATTCGAGTAAAGCGTTTGAGACAAGTTGAATAAATTAAAAAAAAAACAACGATTACGTAGAAACATGCAGCGAAAAAAACCTGTTAACAACTAAGCAAATACATACATACATGTGTATGTACCCTGCAGGGAAACCGCGGACTAGTGAATCAAATTTCTAGTTCCGTACTAGGTCTTTATCCCCAAAAAGGAACTAGCCGATAGGAACTAGATCCCCACCAGGCCAAAATCGGCGAAAAGTGGTACTTTTAAGAAACTAATGTTTTCAGTTTTTTTCACTTCAAATCTATATCTAAAGTGACGAATTTAGAAATGGTTCGGAACTATAGAAAAAGGGATGCAGAACGAACTAGATCCTATCTGTCGAATTTATAACTATTTCAGAACTATCGAATAAGGGATACAGCGGGGGGCTTGTTTACTTTACATATATATGTGTTCGGCGGCTTTTTCGTTCAAATACGCTTCTATTCTGTGCTTCGCAGATGCTATTTCATAGTTTGGTAATACAAAACAAAGCTTTGTGTTAACATATTAACATCTTGGGGCCATCTGGAATCTAACCAATAACAGCGAGCACCTCTGCAAAGTCAGCTACAGTAAGGTAAGTAAACGTACATTTCTTACAATCATTCAAACAAATTAAATTTCAAATTGAAAAAACGTTTCTTTGAAAATAATGAAAAATCGCACACCGAAAAGATTCAAAAATCATGATACTTTTTTCTTTCGTCTGTCGATTTTAGAACTGGTTCGGAACTATAGAATTTAGGACTAGTTCGGAACTATCGAAAAAGGGATGCAGCGGGGGGCAATTGACACTTCCTAGGACATCGCCATGTTAAATTCGCCAGTTGCTTGCATGCAAAAGAGATTTATCGCGAACCAGTACTGGGTCTAAATGTACTAGAAGCGCCCCAGTTCATAGCTAGAGATTTTCCCCACAGGGTAGCTAATGTCGCTGGTACAAAGGAAAGCAAACGAGTTCAGCTGGCTTTATAAACACTGAACAAGTTGACAAATTGTATGCGGAAATTGGCTGGGCAAGAGACAAGGCACGCACGCGCCGCGCCATAACTGCATAGAAGACTTACGGATGAGCTGTCTATGCGCGACAGCCCACAACGACCGACACACACGTCGGCAACTTACTTGCTTTCCGGTGTTGTAGTGCGGATGCAAATGAGTTTGCTTTTGTGGATATTGCTCGGGGTATTGCTGCTCGTATTCCTGTTTTTCACATTGTCGCAAATATTCTTGGTATTCCCGATCGGTGAAATCACTGCGTCGTCGCACAAGTATGCATTCCCGCACAGGTGAGCGTTCTGCATTGACCGAGGGTCGACTTGTAGCAATCGATTCTCGTCTATCCCTAACAAGTGGGTGATGTAAATGTGATGACGTTTGTTGTTGTGCTCGTTGTGGTTGCGGCTGCTGCTGCCTCTGTCCACTTTGCTGTATGCCTGCCGCTGTTGTGGGTGAAGCTGTGGCTAAACGATTATAACGTGTCGTACCCAAACTATTCAGAACTCGCGCATGCTCCCGACGGCTGACGTGATTGCGTGAATGTCGCGCGCCATCTGCCGTATCAGCTGTGTAGGTTCCAGCGTCACCGCCGTTGTCGTTGTCATTGCCATCGTAGGTGCCGCCGTTTCTATGATTATCATAGTCACTGTCAGCTAACGCATTCAAGTCGCTGCCTAGCGTCGTCGTTGTAGTAGTCGTCGACTCGGCGGCTTCATCGTCTACTAAAACGGGTAAAAGATGAAATTTTTTCTTGCGATTTATTGGCGAATTGCTGAGCGAGCGACCTTTGGCGCGTTGTTGTAATGCTTCGCGTATTAGAGCTGACTTTTTTTTTGATGTTGTGCAGTAATCGTTCACAGGCAGATGATTGACAAGTATCTCGGGAGGTGGTGGACGCAGTGGTGTTTCGAAGACAGAGCGACGACGAAACATTTTGTGATACACACTTTATATATATATTTTTTTCGATTAGTTTTGAGTTACTATTTATGTATTATTTATTTTGTTGACTTGACTTTGCTTTCACTTCTTCAAGTTAATTTTTCACAAGCTTTTTATTTTTGTTGTGGTTTATTTTGCGATGATGGATTTCCAACAGTTTTGAGCTAAGGTTGTGTTAAACGTGGTTTGGTTATAATTGCATTTGCTTATAGTCGCTATGGACTTAGATTTGAAGACATCATCAGACACGTTGGCATTTATTTTTTAATACATATGTATATACACTAACTTCGAGGTCAGTTAAATTAAATGTATTATTAATTTTTTGCGTGCTACACTGCGCCTTAAAAGTATTTTTGTGTTGTTTGCTACCCGTATTGTAATACTTCATTTAGTTCAATAAAATTTTTCAAACAGGTGGCAACCCTCTTCAAAATTATTTTCGACAGTAAACTTTCCTAAACCTCTTCAGTTTGACACCTATATTGTAATATTTACTTTATCTTATTAATGAAATTAGATAATTTTTTTTTTTTTTGGAAAACTCTGATTCTATTCAGAAGACTTTCAATAAACCCAATTAAATATTTAACCATTTTTTAATACTGACGATTTTGTATTGGTCGCCCCATTGCCGTTTTCTGGGTTTT